TCAGGGTCAACTATGGTGCCTGGGACCCTGTAGGCACTCATATTTGTTGAATGAATGAGCAAACTGAACTAACAAAGTGTAAGCAACCCACAGTCAAATGCCCACAGATGCCAGGAAATAAACCTAAATGGGACAAACAGGAACAATGCCAACTCTTTAGGGCACAGCTTCTGCACAACTCTGGCTGCATGTTCACATTTACACGTGTGAACTGAGTGCAGAGCTCTTGATATTTTAAGAAAAACAAGAATAGCGATTATTATGTGAAATGTCCTGGCCTTTAAGTATTGGCAACTAATTAAAACTTACTAAAAACAACATGAGGGCCAAAACATTAATGATGCAGAATCAGCCCAGGTTTGTGATCTCTAAAGAGGCTGCCAACCCTGAGCCCCAGTAAACAGCGGAGAGCAGCTGCAGGGCAATCCCACCCACCCATTCCCACCCATGACTCACCATACAGGCAGCCTGCACAGCTTCGGAGAGTCCCCCTGCATGGGGCTGGCACCAGAAGGCTGCGCACTGGAAGCTCTGACGGCCCAGGTCAGCGATGAGGCCAAAGGTGTGTGGGTCGCGGCCAACACCAATAAATGTCACAAGGCGCACAGGGCACTGCCACAATGGCTCCTCCTCTGTACTGGCCTCTGCCTGCCCACACCAGGCCTAGTCACTAGGGGGCCAAGCACTGGCCAGACCCACTGAACTTTTCCGGCAGCAAGCAGTGACCCCTCAGCATCCCTGCTCACCCCTCCAAAGCCCCCAACTTCACCCTCTTCTGATACCTGAATGGGGTGTGCAGTCATGAGAGAGTCAGACACACTGAGCATGGTTGGGACCCAGGCATTCCGGTCCCCCCTGGTGGTGAGGGTACCAATGGCCTCGTTCAGCACATCCATGCCTGGGGGAACATGCCCAGCGTGTCTCCCAGTTGTAAAAGAAAGAGTCTGCAGGGAGTGTCTAGCCCCCTCTCACTGACTTGGGATTCAGAGATAGGGAATAGGATAGTTGGGGCAAGGCTTAGAATTCTGAGTTGGGAAGGCTGGTAGATCCCAGGCGCCATAACAAGGCCATGGGAGGACTCTGAGAAATGGTAGTGGGCCCCACTTCACTCACCTTCCCCTTGCCTCACACAGCCCACCATATGCAGCCCCCTCAGTCCTCACCCATGGCTTTGGTGACTGGCAGTGTCCCCATGTACAGTGCTTCATACTTCTGAGCAGCTTGGCTTACTGCATCCAGCAGCTCCACTGAAATATACACACCAAGTCGGCCTGGCAGCTCTCTCAATTACCATTTTCCCCACCCTTCTGAATGGCCAGGACTCAGGTCAGAGCTGGTGCTGATAGAAGAAAAGGCTCATAGATGCTCCTCCAACTCGTGGCTTGTGATCCCTGAGACCAGACCCTCAGAAATTTATCCACAGAAGTACTAAATAACCAGAAATTGCCTACCCACAAAGCGGCACCAAAGCAGCCCAATGCAGCAATGCGGGACTCCCCTTCCCATACCTTGCCGTGGCAGGTCTTCAGGGGAGATGGGGTCTGGAGAGCAGCAAGAGGCATCAACACTGACCCCTACTCGCTCTGACAAGATCTAAAACACAATGAAGCCAGCATGAGCCACAGGGAGAGAGGGGAATTAGGGTAAAAGGGCCAATACCACCCCAACTACCTTGGAAGCTTCAGACCCAACCCCTTACCCACATTCCCTGCCCCACCCGTGACCCTTACCTGGGCACAAAGCCCATGTAGGGCACTGGCAATGACCTTGGCAGGGACATCACAGCGAAACACATGGCACTTGAGCATACAGCTATCTTTGTCACTTGCCACAAAAGCGAAGTCCCTAGCAGGGGCAGAGATGGGGCTGGGGTAGAGGCTGGTTAGAGGCAGGAGCCTGCAGGAGGCTGGAAAGTCAGGCTAGGGATATGGCAGGGATGGAGTAGGAAGGTCAGGAATGGGGCTCAGGATACCTGGTTTTCACTCACCTGTCACTGTTCCGGAAGCATGTGGGAGCACAGAAGGGAATCAGCCCAGCCTCTTGGACTCTCCCCCATTTGTCCCTGCTGAGCTGGGCCCACCCTCCCCAACCAGGGCTGGACCAGGCAGGGGAAGCAGTCCTGGGTCCACATCAGAGGATCTGTGTCCAGGGTTCAAGTACTGGTGATCAGCATCAGTGGGGATCACAGCCTGCAGCAGGGAGGGAGACGAGCTCTCGCTTGGGGGATGTAGGCATCCTCACCGGCCCTTGGAGCTCCCCACGCCCCACACACGGATGTGCACCAGAGGCTGGCAGTGGATCAGACTGTGGTCCAGGGGATTCACTAGGCTCATGGCATCCTTCTTCAGGATCATCAGCATGTTCTGGCCCTGCCAAGGACAGAGGTCAGCTCAGAGCTCAGATAAAGGTCACTGCCATGAGAAATAGGCAATTCAGGGATAGCTACCTCTGCTGGGCCCTGGGCCCAACCCATTGAGGGGCCGAGCCAACTCACCTCACCCCAGGCACCATCTAGAGGCTGGCTCCGGCTGCGGGTCTGGGCCAGCTGCTGGATGCAGTTATTGACTGCAATACTGCTCTTCCCCGGTGCCAGGTCCTCTTCAGGTACCTCTACCCAGCCCAGAGAGCGTACTGCAAAGCACTGACAAGTTGGGGAAAGGGACAGGAATGAATAAGGATGGAGCAGGGTGGCAGGTGCCACAATACAAACTCCTTATCTTCACCCTTGATCACCTCTGCTCAGTCCAATCCCACCCTTGTCTTTCCCTTGGGACCTCCCAATGCCCTCAGGTCCAAGTCACTACCTTAGCCCCTGGCTCCATGTTCTGGATGTAGGATTCCTCACCACACCAGGACAGAGAGTTACTGAAACAGAGCAGAGGTGTTAAGAGGACCACATTTCCTACAGTAGGGACACTGGTGAGGCCTAGACTAATTGATAAGCACAGGATGAGGAACAAGACCCAGAATATAGCACCAGAAATATAAAAACAGAGCAGGGTAGAGCCCAGGACATATTAACATAACATAAAGTGTGACTTAGAATTTGAGGGAAAATTCAGGACACAACCCAGACACAGGACATAGAATAAAAGTCACAAGGCTGGGTGCAGTGGCTCACGCCTGTAACCCCAGCACTTTGGGAGGCTGAGATGGGTGGATCACGAGGTCAGGGTATCGAGACCATCCTGGCCAACATGGTGAAACCCCATCTCTACTAAAAATACAAAAATTAGTCGGGCATGGTGGCATGTGCCTGTAGTTTCAGCTACTCAGGAGGCTAAGGGAGGAGAATCACTTGAACCTGGGAGGCGGAGGTTGCAGTGAGCCAAGATCGCGCCACTGCACTCCAACCTGGGTGACAGAGTGAGACTCCATCTCAAAAAATAAAAAATAAAAGTCACAAAATGGAGCAGGGTTCAATATGTGGACCAGAACCCCAAAGTGGGACAAGAGATCCTAGAACAGAGGACCTAATGGCCAGGGTCTAGAACATAAGTTAGGACCAAGAATATGAAAAACATGTAGCTACAAACAAGAGTTTAGAACAAGGGATAAAACTTAAAATACTGACAGTTAAGAACTTGGGACAGAGCCAAGAACACAACAGAACCCAAAACGTGTGACAGAATCCAAAACCTGGGGTGGAAAGCAGACCATGGGTCCAGCTGCGTTTTTGAACACCATGGAACCCCAAGCCTTTCATTTTGCCTGGGTCACTCGTTACCTCCGGTCCAGTGAGCTCTCCAGGCTGGAGAAGGATCTCCCTTTGAGGGGCCGCAGTCCCCAAATCCCCTCCGTTCCCTGTAGAGTGGGGGTTAGTCAGTGTAACAGCAGACCTGGGTCCACACACGGGCTCAGACCTCCTCCTCACACTCCACCTACCGTGCCTGGGTCCTCCGCATCTCCTAGTTCCCAGGCTGGGCGCTGCCACTGGGTGCTACCGCTGGGTACATGCCAATAGTAAGTACCTGCAGCATCGTGGATCTTCCTCCAGCCAGGAGGCAAGCCAGGCTCCCCCTCCAGACTCTGGTCCCCCCACAAGTCATCTACAGGAACACCGGATTAGAGAGGAGGGAGCATATTATTTGTGAGTTCAGAATAACATGCTGTCATAATCCTCTCTCCATCCCCAAACTGGGTCAGTTCTTAGGCTGAAGATCGAAGCTCCTCAATCTTGAAGACATCACATGTAAAGATCGGGTTCATTCGCCCCCTGGTCCCTACACAGAGAGGTATCCCCGACCCTGTCTTTGAGCCCCAGACTAGTCTTTCGGATTCCCTCGTCCTCCCTAAGCTCCTGGTCTTCCCACCGGGCCCCTCCGTGCACACCATCGCAGTTGACCAGAATGATGGCCAGCATGTAATCCTTGCCCAGCATAACCCCGGCCGCTCCCCGCCAGCCTCTGCCGGCCCGCACTCTCAGTCCAGCGCGACCTCCGGAGCTACTGCGCCTGCAAGCCCAGCCTCTCTGCACCGCAGGCTGCCGGGCCAGCTGGCGCCGCACAAATACTGGGCGGGACACAGGGCGGGACACTGGCCGGTCCCGGAGGAGGGCCTAAGCCTCACAGCCCGCCCAGGTGTGGCGCGTGTAAACGGTCGTCTGGATCCCCGAATGGGTGCGTATTTCCGTGTGTGGGTCTGGGGGTGACCCAAGAACGCCACCGAAACCGCTGACACCACCGCACGACTATGAACTCATCAGGCGCCAGAAGACCGACACACTGGACATGCGCCGCGCGCACTCGCGCACGAGTGAGATCATCGCTCCCGGGTAGTGAGTGCGCTCACACTCAGCCTGAGACTCGACCGGAGGGGGTCACGTGGAAGTATCTGGGAGAGGCGGGCTCGGCCACTAGGAAAGCGCCTCACCCGTTCCAAAAATGCTCCGGAAGTGCCTTCGCCCTCAGTAAAGATGGCCGGGGCAGTCTGCATGAGGGAGGCGGGGATGCGCCTGCGCAACAAGTTCGGCTGGGAAGATGGCGGATGACAAGGTGAGTGGCCGTGGGGGTGATCTGCAGCCGGGCGTGGTCTTCTCCTTGACCTTTTTAGTTCCGGGGAGAAGCGACTCTGGAGCGGCTCAGGAGTGAGGATGTCCCTTGTTTCTTCTGAGGCTGCTGTCAGCTGCCTCAACAGTGTGGAGTGGTGTGGGGAGAGCATTCGGCGAGGTGGGAGGAGCCGTGGATCCCCCAGATGTACCCTCCTGGGAACCATCACGAACCCCACTTACTAGCACAGACTCAAAAACATTCACCCTTAAACACTCCTCACTTTACCCTATTCCCTACTTCCCGAAATTTTCTTCCCAGTGACACGATGTTTCCAATTACACGGACACACACCACCCTCGTTCAAACACTCCCTTGCATACACTCTGAATTTCATACTTACATGAGATCAAAATCACTCAGTCCATATACTTACGCACTTGCCGACAGTCTTTTTTGTCATTCTCACTCACATCCAGTCACTCATATTCAGTTTGGGATGGCCTTGGGAAGAAAGAAGTAAAGCCCATCCAGGAACCAAGACAATCAAATTGTCCAGGAAACTGCCTCCGTCCATTACTCACCATTGGTCTACAAGCTCAGCATTACCCACATATTTACTAAATGTCAGGCACTAGAACATAGTAGCCAAGACAGACTGGTCACGACTTTCGAGCTCATAATGGAGTCAGTAGTGCTTTCCTGATGGACCAGTTCCTAGCTGTCCCTCCTGCCTTTCCTACATACTGCTTGCTATGTAAAATTCTTGTTGAGGCTGATGTAAGTTACTGGTCCAGATTCCATCTGTCAGTCCCTTCCTGGCCCTCATTTGAATTCTGTGCTTTTCAATGCTTTTCTTTCGTTGCCACTGCCATCTCAGGAAGCTTTTATAGGAAAAGGTCTTTCTGGCTCACCCCATCCCCTCCCAATTCCCAGCTTCTGATGGAATTGAGCAAGGGGTGGGGCTGAGTCAGACTGCTGGAGTCTCGCTTGTCCTAGGATTCTCTGCCTAAGCTTAAGGACCTGGCATTTCTCAAGAACCAGCTGGAACGCCTGCAGCGGCGTGTGGAAGACGAAGTCAACAGTGGAGTGGGCCAGGTAAGGACTGTCCCACCCCACCCCTGCCTTAGGCTTTATTGCCCAACATGCTCTTGAGAGTGTTAAATGAATGGTAGAGATTTATTCAGCAAATGATTATTGAGGGCCTGTTCTCAGGCATCCTAAGGACAATTTTTCTGAATGGCACATGAACTAATATCTTAAGTAGAGGTTAAGTAGGTGAAGAGGGAAGGAAAGAACATTCCAGGCAGATAGAACAGCATATGTAAAAGCCTCGTGATAGGAAGTAGCATTATAAACATGAGGGGTGAAAGGAGGTCCATTTGGCTACAGTAGTTGGGGAGCATGCTAGGAAATGAAGCTGGAGAAACCTGCAGGGCTAGGAGCATCTCTGACCTTGTGTGGCAGTGGAGTTCTATGGTTGGAGCTTTCTGACCCCAGGGTTCTGAGATTGTGTGATCAGAACTGCTAGGTTCTTTTTCTGGCCCCAGAACCTTGGGAAAAATCTGGAGAAAATACCACGGTTGTCCAGGGTGAGGAGGAGTTGGTGGTGGAATGCTCTAATCCTAGCTTGAGTAGCCCCTGGACAGAGTCAGGGAAGAGCCTAGCTAAGTTTCATTCTGCATTTTTCTCTGCAGGATGGCTCGCTGTTGTCTTCTCCGTTCCTCAAGGGATTCCTGGCTGGCTATGTGGTGGCCAAACTGAGGGCATCAGCAGTATTGGGCTTTGCTGTGGGCACCTGCACTGGCATCTATGCGGCTCAGGCATATGCTGTGCCCAACGTGGAGAAGACATTAAGGGACTATTTGCAGTCGCTACGCAAGGGGCCGGACTAGCTCTAGGTGCCATGGAAGAGGCAGGATGAGCAGCTCAGCCTTCAGGTGGAGACACTTTATCTGAATTCCCCAGCTGTCATCCATTTGCTATCTCCAACTTTCCTGCCACCTTCATCCTTGCCTCCCTTCCTGCAGATTGTGAACAGCAGTTCCTCAGCCTGCACCCTGGATTCCTTCTTCCCCTTCCTAACTCCATGGGACTGGCCCCAAGATTGTGACTTCAAGGACTACCAGCCCCTTATTCTTCAAGCCCTGACTGTGGGGTTGGTAGATGCCTCTGATCCTCAGTATTCTCTCTGGCAATGTTCCACAGCTCCTCCTTCCTGGTAGCTGGCTCCGTAACTTGATTTTCCCCAAACGTGTTGCAATCCCTGCTGCCCCTTAGTCACCCAGGGTCTGGTGTGGGTATGAGTGTAGAGGATGGGGGTATGCCGGGCCTGGGCCATCCCAGGCAGGCCCGCTGGACCCTGATGCTACTCCTATCCACTGCCATGTATGGTGCCCACGCCCCATTGCTGGCACTGTGCCATGTGGACGGCCGAGTGCCCTTCCGACCCTCCTCAGCCGTGCTGCTGACTGAGCTGACCAAGCTACTGTTATGCGCCTTCTCCCTTCTGGTAGGCTGGCAAGCATGGCCCCAGGGGGCCCCACCCTGGCGCCAGGCTGCTCCCTTCGCAGTATCAGCCTTGCTGTATGGCGCTAACAACAACCTAGTGATCTATCTTCAGCGTTACATGGACCCCAGCACCTACCAAGTGCTGAGCAATCTCAAGATTGGAAGCACGGCTGTGCTCTACTGCCTCTGCCTCCGGCACCGCCTCTCTGTGCGTCAGGTGTTAGCGCTGCTGCTGCTGATGGCTGCGGGGGCCTGCTGTGCAGCAGGCGGCCTTCAAGTTCCTGGGAACACCGTTCCCAGTCCCTCTCCAGCAGCTGCTGCAAGCCCCATGCCCCTGCATATCACTCCGCTGGGCCTCCTGCTCCTCATCCTGTACTGCCTCATCTCAGGCTTGTCTTCAGTGTACACAGAGCTGCTCATGAAGCGACAGCGGCTGCCCCTGGCACTTCAGAACCTCTTCCTCTACACTTTTGGTGTGCTCCTGAATCTAGGTCTGCATGCTGGCGGCAGCCCCGGCCCAGGCCTTCTGGAAGGTTTCTCAGGATGGGCAGCACTCGTGGTGCTGAGCCAGGCACTAAATGGACTGCTCATGTCCGCTGTCATGAAGCACGGCAGCAGCATCACACGCCTTTTTGTGGTGTCCTGCTCACTGGTGGTCAACGCCGTGCTCTCAGCAGTCCTGCTACGGCTGCAGCTCACAGCCGCCTTCTTCCTGGCCACATTACTCATTGGCCTGGCCATGCACCTGTACTATGGTAGCCGCTAGTCCCTGACAACTTCCACCCTGATTCCGGACCCTGTAGATTGGGCGCCTCCACCAGACCCCTCTCCTAGCCTTCCTCCCCCTCCCATCAGCAGCCCTGTAACAAGTGCCTTGTGAGAAAAGCTGGAGAAGTGAGAGCAGCCAGGTTATTCTCTGGAGATTGGTGGATGAAGGGGTACCCCTAGGAGATGTGAAGAGTGAGTTTGGTTAAGGAAATGCTTACCATCCCCCACCCCAACCAAGTTCTTCCAGACTAAAGAATTAAGGTAACATCAATACCTAGGCCTGAGAAGTGACCCCATCCTTGATGGGCAACTCCCTGCCTTGTCCTGCATGAACAGAGTTGATGAAAGTGGGGTGTGGGCAACAGGTGACTTTCCTTGCCTACTTTAGTCACCCAACAGTGGCTACTGCCTACAGTAGCCACTGGAGCTGGCCGCTCCAGCCCAGCCATGGTGCATGACTCTTCCATAAGAGATACCCACTTTCATGCAAGAAGGCCCTGTTGCCACAGATTATACAACCATTACCCCAGCCACTTTGACAATTTCCCCCAGTTCCAGCAATGCCTAGAGACATGCTCCCTGCCCTTTCTACAGTGCTGCTCCCCACACCTAGCCTTTGTTCTGGAAACCCCAGAGAGGGCTGGGCTTGACTCATCTCAGGGAATGTAGCCCCTGGGCCCTGGCTTAAGCCGACACTCCTGACCTCTCTGTTCACTCTGAGGGCTGTCTTGAAGCCTGCTACCCACTCTGAGGCTCCTGGGAGGTACCATGCTTCCCACTCTGGGTCCTGCCCCTGCCTAGCAGTCTCCCAGCTCCCAACAGCCTGGGGAAGCTCTGCACAGAGTGACCTGAGACCAGGTACAGGAAACCTGTAGCTCAATCAGTGTCTCTTTAACTGCATAAGCAATAAAGTCTTAATAAAGTTTTCTAGGCTGTAGGGTGGTTCCTACAACCACAGCCACGATTGTCTTGTGTCTTCTGTCTAACAATTTTGTTCTTCTGGGGTCCTGAGTATTTTAATTCTGGGGTAACTTTTATTTTATTTTATTTATTTATTTATTTATTTATTTTTGAGACGAAAGTCTCTCTCTTTCACCCAGGCCAGACTGCAGTGGTGCGATCTCTGCTCACTGCAAACTCCGCCTCCCGGGTTCACGCTATTCTCCTGCCTCAGCCTCCTGAGTGGCTGGGACTACAGCTGGCTAATTTTTTTATATTTTTAGTAGAGACGGGGTTTCACCGTGTTAGCCAGGATGGTCTCGATCTCCTGACCTTGTGATCCGCCCGCCTCAGCCTCCCAAAGTGCTGGGATTACAGGCGTGAGCCACCGCGCTTGGCCTGGGGTAACTTTTAGACTAAGAAAAAATTGTTTTCTCCAAGCTGTTGCCAGTGGCATTATTTCCTGTGAGAGCTCCATGGAGCTGAGACATTTCCCTGTCACAGAGCTTTTGAAATTTCCCTGGAGCACAAAACTTGGGCCCAGGGGAATGCGGAAGGAGTCTTGGGAACAGCAGGTTCTGGGCTCAGCAGGACAAACTAGACTCTAGGCCAAAAAACTCTAAGAAATACGATGTGGTTTTGGTTTTCATTTCCTCTGGTTCCCTCACAGACAATTCCTGCCTGTCATCTGTCTTAAAATCATGGCCAGGGGAATGTCAGGCCCTGATTCTGTGATAGAATATATGGTGAGTTTCTAAAAAAAGCAAAGGTGGGTGGGGATGGGGGGCGCCTAGGCTTATCTCAGACCTATTAAAGCAGAATCTTAGGGAGTAGTGTCTGGGAATCTTTTTCTTCTTTCTCTTAAGCTTCCTAGGTGGTTCTGATGCACCCAGAAGCTTGTAAGCCACTACTGTGCAGTGTAGAACTATGGACAGACTTGAATTTGAATTCTGGCTCTTCCACTTAGCTGACTGTTCTTGGGCAGTTATTGAACCTCTTCTGGCTTTAGTTGCCTTACCCCTGAAATGAGGATCAAATGGTACCTACTATATGTGGTAGCTGGAGAGGCTAAATAAAATAATATTAGGCACTTAGTAAGGACTGGAACAATGAGACATGGTTCGTGTTATTAATTATCCATGATGAGGATCAGCTTGGTTTTATCTCACCTTTCTCTCCCTTCTAGGACCCTCCAGAATGAGGAGACAGGAAACTTCCTCTAAAGGGTTCCTGATCAGGTTTCTCCCCAGGACGGTCCAGCATGACTGCCCCCAGCCTAGTCTGCACCCTGCCGAAGTTGCTGGTTCTGAGCTTGGAGCTCCTGATTCTGTGTGGCCAGGTTGATGGCTTCTTCCAGGATGCCCGCCAGCAGGCTGCAGTGACGATGCTCTGTGGTCATGGCCCGTTCCTCCCACTGGCCCTGCCAGGCTCGGAATACCTGTACCCAGATTCAGAGATACCTGTCACTCAGCCAGCCTTGGAGCCAGCTCAAGGCCTGCCCTCCATCCCCACTAACCCGCAGCACATGGTGTGTCTGAGCTCGAGTGGCCTGCACATGCAGGTCATAGAGGGCTGCCAGGTCCTGCTCTGCCGTGTCCCGCTCTTCCTGAAGGGCCTCCAGCTGGAATCTCAGCACCATCTGTTCCTGCTGCCATCTCTGCCTCTCCTTGCAGGCCTTCAGTGATAACACATACTCTTTGTTGAGTGCCACCTGTGTGCCAGGCTCTGTGCTAAATACTTCAAGTGTATTATTTTATCCAATAACAACCATATGTGGCATTGTCGTCTTACAGATTTGACAACAGTGAATCAGAGAAGTGACCTAACTTGCCCAAATTCTCATGGCTAGTGAAGGTCAGAGCTGACATGGCACATGCCTTTCAATGGTTTGCAACTCTCCTTGGGGTAAAATCCAAAGCCAGAGCTGTGGCACACACTTGTCTCTTTAGCCTTGCTTCTGACTACGCACGTGTTCAGCTCCAGCCAGATTGGAGAATTTGCAGTTTACAGGACCCACTTTGCCATTGCTTCCCTCTGAACCTTTGCTCTGTCTTGTCTTCTCTGAGAACATGTCACCACTCCAACCACCCCCACCACATACACGTTATGTTTCTTAATTTGTTCAAATAAGTTGTATCTATGAGTGTCTTGATGTGATGAGCAGTAACTGCCCTTGTGAAGCTCAGTGTCCAGTGAATTCCCCTGGCTGATTTCTGCCTGCCCTTTAAGGCTCAACTTAGATGCCATCTCCTCTGATCCACTCCAGCCTGGATCAGATATGCCTTTTTGGTCCCACATGCCCCTAACTCCCCAGACCCATCACTTAGCACTGAGAATTGCCTCATCTATCCCTGACAAGTCTGTGAGGGCCATGAGAGAGAGTATGAACCAGTCGGTTGTGATTGATGATGGATCCCAGCCCTAGCACAGTGCCTGGACCAATTAGAGCCTCAAGTCCTCTATTTGACTCTCCTTACCTCCTCTTCAGTCACCAGGTCTTTGATCTGGTCATCTGCCACCTCCTCCTTCTGTTCCAAATGCTCCAGCTTCTCTCGAATCCAAATTTGGTGCTGCTCCCTCAGTCTCTGCCTCCAGGCCTGGGCCAAGAAGAACTGCAGGGCCACATCTGGTACCTGCTGGGCTCAGTCAGAAGTCCATGTGTGTGCGCAGATTTAGGACCAGAGCCCAACTTTTCCAATACCTCATCACCAGGGCTGCTGCCAGAATAACATCCAGGACCTAACTGGCCTGGAAGAGCTTGTAGCATGGGCAGAGACTCAGGAGGCCATGGTGGGAAGAGGAAGGTAGTGGCTCTGCCAAGAGGTGCCATAGTGCCCCTAAGGATCCTATACCCTTAATCCAATAAGTAGGAAAACAGTCCCTCCCCATGGCCCTCCCTTAGGGGTCTAGTCACCCTCAGGTCCTTTATTTGTCAAAAACTTCACATTTCTCCTTGATATTGGGGCAGGGTAAGCAGAGGCACATTAGCTGGGCTCTGCAGCTCTTCACTCCCCCTATGGCTTCCAGTCATTCCTGGGGTACATGAGGTATTACCTGTTCCTTAGGGTGCCTGAGAGGATTCTTTTGGTGGAGCCCACACCTTAGAGTTGCCGTTCTTCCTGCCACTAGAGGAAAATGTAATGAATCACACCAAAGGCAGAGAATACCTCCCACTCCCAGCTCATCCCCAAGTCCCAGACCCACCTTGGGGCTCTCCCTCGAGGCATGGGCTCTGGCTTACTGGTGACTCTATCACCTGCTGAGAAGATATTAGAAGTGACCATTCCACACCTTTTCTCCCAGGACAGTGTAGGTTAAGATCAGGGCTTGGAAATCAGACAGATCAGGGTCCCAGCCCCTCCTCTTCTTAGCTGAATGACCTCGAGCAGGTGACTGGCCTAGTCTCCATGTGCTTCTCTATCAAATCGAGCTGATAAAAGTTGTAGAGAGAATGAAGTGAAGTACTGCACCGAAAGCACCGAGCAGTAAGGCTCTTGCTCAATAAATAGGAGCTACCATGCCTGATTCCCAAGCCCCAAGGCTGTAAAAACAAGTTGTAAGCAATTATGAAAAAAGACGAGAAAGGCCAGAAGAGGCTGGACAGGGGCAGGGTTCAACCACCCTGTGATAAATCATGGAAGACCAGAAAGGCCATGCAGCCTAAGGAGATGAAAGAGCACTAGATTAGGAGTCTAAGGACTTAAGTGTGATGATACTTTTGCTGCTCCCGATTACACCTGTGACCCCAGGCTCACAGGTCTCACATCTTTTCTTTTCTTTTTCTTTTTTATGACAGAGTCTCGCTGTGTCACCCAGGGTGGAGTGCAGTGGTGCAATCTCAGCTCACTTCAACCTGCGCCTCCCGGGTTCAAGCGATTCTCCTGCCTCAGCCTCCTGAGTAACTGGGACTACAAGCATGCGCCACCATGCATGGCTAATTTTTGTATTTTTGAGTAGAGATGGGGTTTCACCTTGAGAGGGCTCCCAGCCCTCTCACATCTTTTCTTTTCTTTTCTCTTTTTTCTTTTTTTTTTTTGAGATGGAGTTTCACTCTTGATGCCCAGGTTGGAGTCCAATGGCATGATCTCGGCTCACTGCAACCTCTGCTTCCTGGGTTCAAGTGATCCTCCTGCCTCAGACTCTCAAGTAGCTGGGACTACAAGCATGCACCACCACACCAGGCTAATTTTTGTATTTTTAGTAGAGACAGGATTTCTCCAAGTTGGCCAGGCTGGTCTCGAACTCCTGACCTCAGGTGATCCACCCACCTCGGCCTCCCAAAGTGCTGGGATTATAGGCATGAGCCACCATGCTCAGCCTCACATCTTTTCTTTAAGCCTCAGTTTGCTCACCTGAAAAGGACACAGTATTCTTTCCTGCTTAAAATACTTCTGTGGCTCACCTGTGACCTTTAAGACAAAGTCCAAACATCTCTGTTTTACACAGCCCTGTGTGACCTGGCCCCTGCTGTCCTCTCCAGTCCTTCTCTCCTGACTCTCCCTCAAGTTCTGTTCTCCAACAAATTGAGCTGCTTGCACTACCTCAAGGGGACCAAGCACTTTCTTGCCTCTGAGTCTTTGCCTGTCATTCTCTCTGCCTTCAGGTTGTTCACTCATCTTTGTTGACCTCCTTCAGGAATCACTTCCTCCATGAAGTCTTCCATCCCTCTCTTGCCAAGGCTAATTTAGATGCCCCACAGAACTCTGTTTATAAGCCTTTCAGAGCACCGATGATGGTGGTGTAATTGTTTCTTCCCAGGAGATTATAAACTCCATGAGGGCAGGGAATTCCCAGGGCCTATGTGGCACTGGGCCCAGCACACAGTGGGTGGTCAGTAAGTGTTTGGGAATCAATAAGTCAATGAATGAATGGAGGTCTTCCTCAAAGTGCTTTGGAAAGAAGACAAGAAGGCAGACACAAATGTGGCTCCCAAAAGGGTGAATGCGAAGACATACCTGTGGTTCTGGAAGCCTCATCGCCTCAGTTCTGGCTCCTTGGAGCATGTTTCTTCTTGGGTGCTGGCTCCACGCTTTTACCACCTATGGAGAAAGGGTTCAAGGTGGGTACTGGCCATGGCTGGCCCAGATGCCCTCCGGCTTCACCTTGCTCACCTCTAACTCCCGCAGTGCCCTTCTCAGCTGGCTTAGCCCACTGTATGTCAGGGTGTCCTCAAGGAGGCCTAAACGCAGGGGCCTCATGCCAGCCCGGCGGGCCCGAGCCTCTTCTACTGCATCCCACAGGGTGGGCCTCACCTGTTTCACCTGCATCCTCCTTCTTGGGCCCCCAACAGAGCAGCCTGGAGCAAACTGAGGGAGCTACCTAATAAAGGGACACTCCAAGTGAATTACTCCTTCCTGTGGACTCCAAAGCACGCGGCCTGTAATACTTTTACTTTTTGTTAGTAGTACTATTCATAAAAATATCTAACCCCCTCTAGGCTTTTACATGTGCTTGATGACACTTCACTAAGGCTGTTCATGGATTGCCTCTTTTTATCCACACAACACTCCAATCAGGCAGAAGCTCTAATCTATCCTGCCTCCCCCGACATTTTCCAGATGAGGCAATAGAAGCTCAAAGAGGTCAAGCAACTTCTTGGCAAGTGGCAGAGCCAAAACTCAAGCTCATGCCCTTCATCATGATATCAAACTGGCCTGAAGGTAAACAGGTCTGGCCCTCACTGCTTTATCCTTGTGGGTGTGAACTGCTCTAACTTATCTTCCTCATTCCAAGGGACCTTGCACAGGGGAGGTCTGGGAACTTGCTAGCCAAATGAATGTGTGTTTGTTGATTTTGGAGACGAGGGCCAGACATTTTTTACTCTTTTATTATGGAAAATTTCAAACATACACAAAGTATAGGAAATCCTGTGTACCTGTCACCTAGCTTTGACAGTTATCAACTCATGCCATTTCTGTTTGATCAATACTCCCCACCTCGACCTCCCCCAAATCCCTGACATCATAACATTTCAGAGGCTTGATTTTTTTTCTTTTTTTCTGCCAGCATCTACATTAAGGACACAGAGGTTTTATTTTTTTATTTTTTTTATTTTTTTGAGATGGAGTCCCGCTCTATTGCCCAGGCTAGAGTGCAGTAGCACGATCTTGGCTCACTGCAACCTCTGCCTCCCAGGTTCAAGCAGCTCTTCTGCCTCAGCCTCCCAAGTAGCTGGGACTACAGGCGCCCGCCACCATGCCCAGCTAATTTTTGTATATTTAGTAGAGATGGAGTTTCACCATGTTGGCCAGGCTAGTGGCCTGGCCAACGAACTCCTGACCTCAGGTGATCTGCCCATGTCAGCCTCCCAAAATACTGGGATTGCAGGCATGAGCCGCCGTACTCAGCTGAGGCTTGATTTTTAACGGGTGTATGAAAATAGGAGACTCCCTTCTCTTCTCTTATCTCTCTCTCTTCATCTATAAATTAGGCCTGCCTCTCTTTCCTTATTTGTAAATTATATCTGCCTCATGGGGTTTTGGCAAGAATCAAAGGCATTTGTGCAAAAATGCTTGGTAAGTGGTTTAAGGCCTCTGAAGGGTGAGGGGTTACTTTCACTGTTGACCTTGCTTTGCCTCTCTAGTCTCTGTCAGCCTAGGCACTCTGGGGCCCTCTTGGAGGGTCAGGCTCTCTCTCTGGGCTGGAGTTGGGGCTGAGGTTGGTTGGGTGATGGGTGAGGCAGGCGTAAGGACAGATCTCAGAGCTTCCCAAAGAACCCCACACTCTCCCCCTGGCCACCTTGGGGGTCCAGGCGAAGAAGCAGGCCACTGTAGTTGTTTCCTTCCAAAAGCTGTGAGACAATCCATGGTAAAGAGCCCTCCGCCTCCTCACCAACAACTTCACCAGCCAACACCCGCAGCAGGGGGCAGTCTCTGCAAGAGGGAGAGGAAGAAAGGCGATGTCCACTGGTGGATGGGGAAAGAAACTGGACAGAGTTACACTCTGATGGAAAGGGCAACTATTTCCAGAAACTTTTGTGCATTACCAGACAGATTTGAAACATCATACAGATCTCTATTTTATTAGTATTACTTTTTGAGTTACAAAAGTAATACATTCTCCATGGGCATGGTGGCTCACACCTATAATCCCAGCACTTTGGGAGGCCGAGGCTGGCAGATCACTTGAGGTCAGGAGTTTGAGACCAGCCTGGCTGACATAGTGAAACCTTGTCTCTACTAAAAATACAAAAATTAGCCAGATGTAGTAGCACACACCTGTAATCCCAGCTACTAGAGAGGCTGAGGCAGGAGAATTGCTTGAACCCAGAGAGCAGAGGTTTCAGTGAGCCAAGATCACACCACTGCCTGCCCTCCAGCCTGGGCAATAAAGTGAGAGTCTGTCTCAAAAATACAAACAAATTTTTAAAAAAGAAGTAATAGATTCTCACAGTAAAAAATTTAAATTGTGTACCTGACAAGTGACTTGTACCAAGAATATATAAAGAGCTCTTACAACTCAATAATAGAAAGACAAATAACCCAATTTTAAAATGGGCAAAAGAAGATGACATCAGTGAAAATCACAGAGTAGGGAACTCCAGGAGTCCATCCATCCCCAGAAATACCTAGCAAAAATTGCCAGAAACAACCTTATTTTAACTCTGAAAGATAGAGGTTTACAGCAACAAATGCTTAACCAGGAGAGGCAATTTAAACATTGTAAGAGATCTCTGTGGTGTTTTAACTTACCCTCGCTCCAACCCCTCCCCAGCACAGGGCTAATCTTGAAGACAGTAGCCCAAATTTCTGGTGGGGGTTCCTGGTTAGGAAGGGAGCAGAGAAGATCTTGTTCCCAATGAATCGTGTTTATCTTTTTTGATTTTCTGGAGTTTCCCCCCAAGAACTGATGAAAGGGAAATATCTTTGCTTCACCTGTCTCAGAACTCTCTCAAGGCAGAGCAGCTACACAGAGGATGTTCCCTGGAAACTGCTGAAGAACAAAAGAACAAGGCACTGCTGCCTGAAGCAAAAATAACAGTTGAGGCAAACAATTGACACCCTGAAAGACTGGGAAAAGTTTGGAAGTTATATTTTTGGGAGAATAAGGACTTCAAAAAGTTCCCATGTGTACCAGAGAGTGTAGAAAGCACACCCAGGGTAGGACTCATATGCAGAAAAGGCCCAATAAGACAATAAGCTTTCATCTCTGTCTGGTCTTTGGGCTCAGCACAAGCAGGAAGTGAAGGCTAAAACAGAGCTGTAAATTGCCTGGCTAAGCTTAGGAGTGACTCCACACAGCCAATCTGCAAAGACCTGGAAAAGTTTTTCTTTTTCTTTTTTCCTTCCTTCCTTCCTTTGTTTTCTTTTTCATATTCTTCTTTATTCTTTTTGTTTCTTTTTTATTTGTTTCTTTCTTCTTCCTTTTTAAAAAACAAAACAAAACTTTTTTTTTGGTCGCAGGCATTTAAGGAATTCTATGTTAGGTCACTGGCTAACAACTAAAATAACAAAATGAAGGCTTCAGTGAATACAAAGAATACAGTCTTCGGGAAAAAAAAAAAAAAACAACAAAAAACCCACAAAGATAAAGAGAGAATCTTGAAAACAGCAAGAGAGAAGCAGTTTATTATGTGCAATGGATCTTCAATAAGACTAAAAACAGATTTATCCCCAGAAACCATGGAGATATCATAAAGTTGGCCCTTTATATCCATAGGCTCTGCATCTGTGGATTCAAGCAAGCATGAATCAAAAATATTTGGGAGAAAAATGGTTTTGTCTGTACTGAGCATGTACAGACTCTTTCTTGTCATGATTCCCTAGACAATACAGTATAACAATTTACATAACATTTACATTGTATTAGGAATTATAAGTAATCTAGAGATGACTTAAAGTATGTGGGAGGATGTACGTAGGTTATGTGCAAATACTATAACATTTTATTTTTTATTTTTATTAGTTTTTTTGTGTGTGGTGTTGTTGTTGTTTTCCTTTTTAGATAGAGTCTCGCTCTGTCACCCAGGCTGGAGTGCAGTGGTGTGATCTCAGCTCACTGCAACCTCCACCTCCCGGGTTCAAGCAATTTTCCTGCCTTGACCTCCCCAGTAGCTGGGATTACACGCACCAACCACCACGCCCAGCTTATTTTTATATTTTTGGTAGATACGGGGTTTCACCATGATGGCCAGGCTGGTCTCAAATTCCTGACCTCAGGTGATCCACCTGCCTTGGCCTCCCAAGGTGCTGGGATTACAGGCGGGAGCCATGGTGCCCACCTAATTTTTGTGTTTTTAGTAGAGACAGGGTTTCACCATGTTGGCCAGACTGGTCTCAAATTCCTGACCTTAAGTGATCCACCCACATTGGCCTCCCAAAGTGCTGGGATTACAGGTGTGAGCGCCACACCCAGTTATTTTTATCAGTATTTTTTTAGATAGGGTCTTGCTCTGTCACCCAGGCTGGAGTGCAGTGGTGTGATCATGGCTCACTGAAGCCTTGACCTCCTGGACTCAAGCTATCGCTTCAGCCCCTCAAGTAGCTATTATTACTGTTTTTTACAGTCTTTTTTATTTTTATTTTTTGTAGTGACAAGATCTCACTATGTTGCCCAGCCTGGTCTCAAACTCCTGGGCTCAAGCAGTCCTTCTGCTTTGGCCTCCCAAAGGCTGGAATTACAGGCATGAGCCACTGTGCCTGGCCCACACCATTTTATATAAGACACTTGAACATCTGTGAATGTTGATACCTGCGGGGGGATCCTGGAGCGAATCCCCAAAAAGATACAAAGAGACAATGGTATTTAAAGTGCTTTAAAAAAATCCTGCCAATCAAGAATTATATATCTGGCAAAACTATCCTTCAAAAATGAAGGCAAAATTATGACACTCCCAGATAAATCAAAGCTGAAGTAATTCATCATTAGTAGACTTGCCTTACCAAAAATGCTGAAGAGAGTCCATCAACCCAAAATGAAAGGACACTAGACAGTAACTTGAAGCCATATAAAGAAATAAGGAACAATAATAAGGTAACTACATGTGTAAATATAAAAGCCCATAATATTGCATTTTTTGTTTGTAACTCCTCTCTTTTGCCCATAGGATTTAAAAAACAAATGCATAAAACAATAATTGTAAACCTATGATAATGGGCACACAATGTATAAAGATGTAATTTGTGACATTAGCAACATAATGGGAAAAGAGGCAGATGTATAGGGGTAAAATCTTTATAGATATTGAAGCTAAGTTGGTATTAATTCAAGCTGGATTGCTATATGGTTTTTGTTTGTTTGTTTGTTTGTTTTAGATGAGGTCTCACTATGTTGCCCAAGCTGGTTTCAAACTTCTGGGTTCAAAAGATCCTCCTGCCTCAGCCTCCCGAGTAGCTGGGATTACAGGTGCATACCATTGTGCCTGGTGAGACTGTTTTAAATTTAAGATATTAGCCGGACACGGTGGCTCACGACTGTAATTCCAGCACTTTGGGAGGCTGTGGGCAGATCACGAGGTCGAGAGATCAGGACCATCCTGGCCAACATGGTGAAACCCCATCTCTACTAAAAAATACAAAAATTAGCTGCACCTGTAGTCCCAGCTACTCGGGAGGCTGAGGCAGGAGACTCACTTGAACCCGGGAGGCGGAGGTTGCAGTGAGCTGAGATCACGCCACTGCACTCCAGCCTGGAGACAGAGCGAGACTCTGTCTCTAAATAAATAAATAAATAAATGAAATTTAAGATATTAATTGTAATCTCCAAAATGGCCACAAGGAAAATAAGTGGGGTTTTTTTGTTTGTTTGTTTTGTTTTTTTAGACAGGGTATCACTCTGTTAGCCAGGCTAGAGTATAGTGGCACGATCACGGCTCACTGCAGCCTCAACTTTCCAGGCTCCAGTGATCCTCCCACTTCAGCTTCCTGAGTAGCTAGGACCACAGGCCTGCACCATCATGCCTGTCCAATAGAAAAATAACCTTTAAAAATATGGAAAACCCCCCTGTTCACTTTTTTAAATGGATTTATGTCTTTATTGCTCATTAATTGGGGTAAAGGAAATATCCTTTTAAAACTCAGGCAAACTGAGTGTTTGTCTTGTATCCTGTCAGAGGAAAGAAATTGGAAAAGAAAAAAAAAGGAAAAAATATCAAAAAGGTAATGTGAAAAAAAATCAACACAGCACATTGCAAAAAATCAATTAAATACAAAAGGCAATATTAGAGGAATTAAGAAACAAAAATATATAGCCAAATAGCAAGATGGCAGGAGTAAGTATTTGTTATCAGTGATCACTTTAAAGGTAAATGGAATAAACTCCCCAATTAAATAACAAAGTTTGGAAGAATAGGTCTTTTTTTTTTGGTTGGAAGAATAGATTGAAAAAAAAACATAATTTATCTATGTGTTGTCTACAAGAGACTCACTTTATTTTCTTTATTTTTTTAAGAGACAGGGTCTCACCCTGTTGCCTAGGCTGGAGTACAGTGATGTGATCAAGGCTCACTGCAGCCTCAACCTCCCGGGCTCAAGTGATCCTCCTGCCTCAGCCTCCAAGTAGCTGCAGCTACAGGTATGTGCCACTATACCTAGTTATTTTTATTTTTTGTAGATATGGGATCTTATTATGTTGCCTAGTCTGGTTTCAAACTTCTGAACTCAAGTGATTCTTCTACCTTGGCCTCCAAAAGTGTTGGGATTACAGGCATGAGCTGCCATGCCCAGCCAAGACCCACTTTAGATCCAAAGACACAAATAGGTTAAAAGTAAGAAGATGGAAAAAGATATAAAAGAGTCTGTAGTGGCTATATAAATATCACACCAAATAGACTGTAAGTCAAAAATTGTTACAAGAGACAAAGAAGTACATTATATATTCATAAAAGGTTCAACTCATCAAAAAGATAAAACAAATATAAACATGTATGCACTTG